GCCCCAGCCAGAGGCAGAGGCTGGGTACTCTCAGGCCCCCTCCCGGGAAGGGCCCACTCTGGCCGGCAGCACCTGGCCCCACAGCCCACTCTTCCCTCCGTCCCAGTCTCACCAGTGGCAGCAGCAGGCCAGGCACGGCGGAGAGGCCCATGTCCTGCCAGCTGTGGCCTCTCACTCCCCCATCAGGGCCCAAGGCCACCGCGGTGGTGGCAGCAGAGACGATCTCCGAGGCGCGGGTCCATCGGGGAGGTCCCAAGTGGAGCCGGGGTCTGGGGTAGGGGGTTGCTGAGAGCTGATACTCCGCGACAGAGATCGTGGCCCAGTCTCAGGAACCTCGAAGCCCCAAGGCCAGAACTGGAGCCTGAGTAGAAAACTCCGAGAAAATTAACAGAGAGGAGAAAAGGTGGGCGGGGTAGGGAGAGCAGAGGCGTGTTGCAACAGCGGGACAGGAAGAGCGAGGAGGCAGGAGGAGGTGCACGGGGAGGGGGAGGTTTTAACCCTTTGCAGCCCAGCCAGAAGCCCAGGGGCCCTGGATACAGCTGCCTTGCGCCCCCAGCCCAGCAGTCCGACCACTCCCAAATTAACCACAGGTGCAATAAGGACCCCCCCACCGCCCCATCAGTGGCCTCTCCCAAATGGAACAGCAATGGACAGACCCAGAGTTTTAGACTCACATTCACTGGGTTCCTTTTTAGAAGTCTTGGCTTTTAGCTGGCTGGTCTTGGACACATAACCTAACCTCTCTGATCCTGTTCTCCAGTTTGCAAGATGGAGCTCACCTGTCTCATGGGGTGGCTGTAAGGATTCATTGAAATAGGACACAGAATAAGTACTCAGTGTTTCTTAGTAATGTCCCCCTAGACCCCCCAATTCTCCTCTGGCCCCTCATTTCCCTCTTTCTTAGGAATTTGCTCCCCCAACCCAAGCCTCGGAGTAAGTCCTAACTCCAGTTCTGTGCCCTGCCCTCCCACACCCACCCTTCCCCAGCCCTCTGGTTCTCATCCAGCCGCCCCCGGCCAAGCTGGGGGCTTTGCCACGGATCAACAGTGGGACATTGGTGACTTTGCCGGGCCTCGGTTGCTTCCTCATTTCTTGGATGGGGTAGCCATGTCTGCCCACCTTCGTGGAGAGAGGGACACCACGAGGACTTCAGGAAATGCTTCGGAGATATAGATGTCCCCCCAGGGTCACGACAGTCCAGTGTGCTTCTCGAATATTCGCCACGTGGATCAGCGTGCCCTTAGCGATCACCTACTACCCCACCCCCTTGGCCTTACAGGTGCGAGACAGCCCCGGAGACACGCGATGTGCCCGGGGCCGAGCCAGCAGAGAACCCAGACTCCCCACTCCTGGGCCAAGGGCCCCTTGGCTTCGACACGCACGCACTGCCACTTTTCTCCCTATCCCTTGAAACAGACCCACACCCTGACCTGGGCGGTCCATGTCACCCCCATGGGCCTGACATCTCGGCAGTGAATCCACAAGATGAAACATTGCCCACGTACCGTCTGGGTGCAGTGGCCTCCCTGTACCCAGCCCAGGTGGAGGGCCCGCAGCTGCTGAGGCCGCTTGAATTGCAGGGAGCCCAGTGAAGACCAAGGTCCCAGGCCCGGAGGCTGGGACCACAGCTCCTAGTGCCTTCTCCCTGTGACCTGCCAGCTGCCTCCGAGCCCCAGCCAGAGACTCCCAGCCCGTCTATGCCCTCTGTGACCCCGGGGCAGGGCATCTGTAGATAAAGACGGAGCTTCGGTTCCCCCATCGCTTCAGCGGTCCTCCAGCTTCTGGAGAACTGGGGGGTTGAAGCTGAACTCACGGAGAAGGAGTCCGCCACCAACACACAGCTGCCCAGCGGGCAGAACTCGGAGCCAGCTGGATTGGGAGAGGACGGACCTCCCTTCCCCCTCTTCTCCCCTTCCCCCACCTATCTGGCCCACCCCAGCCTAGCGCCGGCCCCCGCATTCCCAGAATCCTTGGGACTCAAGCTTCCTTGGCTGTCAGGAGCCAGAGTTTTCTCCCTTCTCCTCTCAAACGCCTCCCTCTCCCCTGCCTCTCAGATGAAGGGGAAGTCTGAACTGGCAGTGGCTCAGGTCGGCCCACCTGGACCAGAGCTGCCACTGGGGCAGGGAGCTCTCAGGCCCCCGGGCGGGAAGGGCCCAGGTACAGCAGGAGGGGGCAGAATCCCAGCTCCTGGGGGAGCAGGGTCACTAGAACGAGGTGCAGAGGCAAGGAGAGCCTCTGTCCACGATGGCGAGCATGCCCGAGAGACAGAGAGGAGGGAAGCATCCTGGATCCCCCCCGACAGGCTCTCGTCACGCCCGGTTCCCTTTCCCCAGCCCTCAGCTCTCAGCTCATCAGGGTCCTGGGCACACGCACACACCCGGCATGTTTTCAAGCCACACAGAGGATCCGACCTGAAGTCCAGTTTGTTATCAACGGTGCCACCACACTGGGGGCCAGACTTCTCATCCAAAACCTGAGAAACATGCGAGTAATCCTCATGAAGTGGCCTGATGATTTGATGCCTATAGGCCAGCAGGTGTCATGGGGTTAAGGTGCTGGATCTCACATGGCCTACTCCATGGTTTGAGTCCTGGAACCGGCAGCCTGAAAACACGCCGGGTGCATGTGTACGCTGAAAATCCTGGGAGGAGAATGGAGGAGGCTACTCTCCCAGGGGATGGTTTCTCACTTTCACTCCTCTCTCTGTCTCTCTGTGGCAAGCACATGCACTCTGTGACAAAAAGGTTAAAAAAAAAAAAGCATATAAAGCACCTAGCAAGCATTTGCCATTTATGGAGGAACTTCGAATTGTTTGTGGAAAAATGGAATTAAAGTACGTGTAATTTTGGTGCAAAAAGATTTCAAAGCCATGTATAATTTTGTACTGTTTTCTAATTTTGCCAGGAGGCGTGAGAGCCTGTCAGAGAGGAAGATGAGAAAGCACACCCTAATGGGGCATTGTCGTGGCCAAATTCCTTCTCCTCCATCTCTCCATCCTGTGGGTATTTGGGGCACACATGTACACATGCCCGATGTGTTTTTCAATCTACCAGGGCCAGGATTCGAACCATACAGTCAGCCACATGCTATCCAGCTCCCTCAACCACTATGCCACAAGGCCAGCCCCGGGCATAATGTGCTTCATAAATTCATTTTCTGTGAACCTTTTGAAGCCCTCCCATGGTCAGCACTCAGTAAGTGGTAGGAATGTCAATGGTCCGTTTGTGTTACATCAGCAAGTTCAATGTCCTATTTTTAGTGTTACAAAAGATTTCTAACAGTCTGTGTAAGCTGCCAAAGTCATCACACTAGTTTGGCAAAAAACAAAAAAAAAAAGAAGAAGAAATTTTCTTTCACTTTTTTAGGGCAAATGTTTGTTTACTTGTAAGTCTAAGCTCTGAGACATGTATTAAATTGATCAATAAGGTTCTGTTTTTTAAAAAAAATCAAAGAGGGAACCAGCAGTTAGCATAATGGCTATGTCGCTGGACTCCCATGTAGTCGACCGCGGTTCGCATCCCGGACCCGGTGGCTTAAAACTCACGCCGGGCGTGTGTGCCCAAGCTTCCGAGAGGAAAATGGAGGAAAAGGGATTGCGGTGTGGTCATCCCCCCGGGGGTGATTTCTCGCTTTCTGTCTCTCTGTCTCTGTCTGGCGAGTGCACGCGCTCTGTAGCAAAAACTTCTCCAAAAAAAAAAAATAAAACAAAGAAGAATGGGCCAGCTCCATGGCTACTGTATTGTACTGCTCTGGAGAAGCCAGATCCCGCACGGTGACAGGGTTCAAATCCCTGCCTGGTCAGTCTGAACCATGCCAGGCACGTACATGAGTATCCAAGACCCAAGGAGGGGGGCTGGAGGAAAGGGAGCATGGCCTGACCGGGCCCTCGGAGAGTGCACCTCTTCCTGTCCCCCTCATGTGCATATATACACACTCTATTATGAATAAAGGAGAAAAGATGCCTGGGCCAGCAGGTACTGCGCTGGTTGAACCACCAGACTCCCACATGGCCCAGTGCAGTTCAAGTCCCGAACCCGGCAGCTTGCTTTCTCACCTCTTCTCTCTCTGTCTTTCTGGTGAGTGTAAACAAATTGTAGCAAGTTAAAAAATATATTTAATAAATATTTTTTAAACACTTTTTAAACTAATCATTCTTTTTAAAAAAGTAGCGAGAAGTGGGCAGACAAGGAATATGAAAAGCTAACTCGTTTCATGGCAGAGGTGACAGTGAGACCATACTAGGGGATTTTTTTAAAGTTCGTGGAGGGACAGTGGGTGGCATGGAAGTTGGGCAGTTGGATCCCACACGGCTGATTGTGGGATCCAAGTCCCAGAGCTGGCAGCTTGAGAAACACTCCAGGCCTGTATGTTATCCAAAGTTCTGCGATGAGAATGGAGAAGATGGGACTGCGGCACGGCCATCCCCCTGGGGGGTGATTTCTTACTCCCCCCAATCTGTCTCTCTCTTTCTCCAAGCATATGTACCCAATAGCAAAAACTTTAAAAATTTAATTTCAAGTTCATGGGAAAATGGAGTTAAAATACAAGCTTATTTTGATACAAAAAAATTGAAATTCATGCATACTTTTTTTATGACATACACTTCCCATGAACCTTTTGAACACCCTTCCCTCGTAATCCCTCTAGGGTCAGAAAAAATAACGGGGCGGAGGGAGCAGGGATAGAATCCAAGGATTTGATGCCTATAGGCCAGCAGGTGTCATGGGGTTAAGGTGCTGGATCTCACATGGCCTACTCCATGGTTTGAGTCCTGGAACCGGCAGCCTGAAAACACGCCGGGTGCATGTGTACGCTGAAAATCCTGGGAGGAGAATGGAGGAGGCTACTCTCCCAGGGGATGGTTTCTCACTTTCACTCCTCTCTCTGTCTCTCTGTGGCAAGCACATGCACTCTGTGACAAAAAGGTTAAAAAAAAAAAAGCATATAAAGCACCTAGCAAGCATTTGCCATTTATGGAGGAACTTCGAATTGTTTGTGGAAAAATGGAATTAAAGTACGTGTAATTTTGGTGCAAAAAGATTTCAAAGCCATGTATAATTTTGTACTGTTTTCTAATTTTGCCAGGAGGCGTGAGAGCCTGTCAGAGAGGAAGATGAGAAAGCACACCCTAATGGGGCATTGTCGTGGCCAAATTCCTTCTCCTCCATCTCTCCATCCTGTGGGTATTTGGGGCACACATGTACACATGCCCGATGTGTTTTTCAATCTACCAGGGCCAGGATTCGAACCATACAGTCAGCCACATGCTATCCAGCTCCCTCAACCACTATGCCACAAGGCCAGCCCCGGGCATAATGTGCTTCATAAATTCATTTTCTGTGAACCTTTTGAAGCCCTCCCATGGTCAGCACTCAGTAAGTGGTAGGAATGTCAATGGTCCGTTTGTGTTACATCAGCAAGTTCAATGTCCTATTTTTAGTGTTACAAAAGATTTCTAACAGTCTGTGTAAGCTGCCAAAGTCATCACACTAGTTTGGCAAAAAACAAAAAAAAAAAGAAGAAGAAATTTTCTTTCACTTTTTTAGGGCAAATGTTTGTTTACTTGTAAGTCTAAGCTCTGAGACATGTATTAAATTGATCAATAAGGTTCTGTTTTTTAAAAAAAATCAAAGAGGGAACCAGCAGTTAGCATAATGGCTATGTCGCTGGACTCCCATGTAGTCGACCGCGGTTCGCATCCCGGACCCGGTGGCTTAAAACTCACGCCGGGCGTGTGTGCCCAAGATTCCGAGAGGAAAATGGAGGAAAAGGGATTGCGGTGTGGTCATCCCCCCGGGGGTGATTTCTCGCTTTCTGTCTCTCTGTCTCTGTCTGGCGAGTGCACGCGCTCTGTAGCAAAAACTTCTCCAAAAAAAAAAAATAAAACAAAGAAGAATGGGCCAGCTCCATGGCTACTGTATTGTACTGCTCTGGAGAAGCCAGATCCCGCACGGTGACAGGGTTCAAATCCCTGCCTGGTCAGTCTGAACCATGCCAGGCACGTACATGAGTATCCAAGACCCAAGGAGGGGGGCTGGAGGAAAGGGAGCATGGCCTGACCGGGCCCTCGGAGAGTGCACCTCTTCCTGTCCCCCTCATGTGCATATATACACACTCTATTATGAATAAAGGAGAAAAGATGCCTGGGCCAGCAGGTACTGCGCTGGTTGAACCACCAGACTCCCACATGGCCCAGTGCAGTTCAAGTCCCGAACCCGGCAGCTTGCTTTCTCACCTCTTCTCTCTCTGTCTTTCTGGTGAGTGTAAACAAATTGTAGCAAGTTAAAAAATATATTTAATAAATATTTTTTAAACACTTTTTAAACTAATCATTCTTTTTAAAAAAGTAGCGAGAAGTGGGCAGACAAGGAATATGAAAAGCTAACTCGTTTCATGGCAGAGGTGACAGTGAGACCATACTAGGGGATTTTTTTAAAGTTCGTGGAGGGACAGTGGGTGGCATGGAAGTTGGGCAGTTGGATCCCACACGGCTGATTGTGGGATCCAAGTCCCAGAGCTGGCAGCTTGAGAAACACTCCAGGCCTGTATGTTATCCAAAGTTCTGCGATGAGAATGGAGAAGATGGGACTGCGGCACGGCCATCCCCCTGGGGGGTGATTTCTTACTCCCCCCAATCTGTCTCTCTCTTTCTCCAAGCATATGTACCCAATAGCAAAAACTTTAAAAATTTAATTTCAAGTTCATGGGAAAATGGAGTTAAAATACAAGCTTATTTTGATACAAAAAAATTGAAATTCATGCATACTTTTTTTATGACATACACTTCCCATGAACCTTTTGAACACCCTTCCCTCGTAATCCCTCTAGGGTCAGAAAAAATAACGGGGCGGAGGGAGCAGGGATAGAATCCAAGAAATAGGCCAGATGGGATGGCAGAATTAATGCTAGAGTGTGCAGAGCAAGGAAGAGAGCTACAGAGCTGCAGGGACACCCCCTCCCAGACACCTCCCGGACACCCACGCACATGCCCCCTCCCCTCCCCACGTAAGCCACAGGGCGCTGGGCTCAAGGGTGCTGGTGACACGGCTTCAAGCCCCAGCCCTGCCACGCGACTCCAATTCTGGTATGACATGTGTCATCACAGGGAGGCTGGCTGAGTCATAGGAACCCGGGGTTCCGGCTGTTTCTGCAAGAACTATGAACTTGGGCAAGTCGCCCCACCTGACAAAGAACGGGAGGTAACTGAAGCCCCTTTTCTCCAACAGTGACCTAAGGTACAGGGGTAGCCCTCAGACAAGGACAGAAGAAATGCCAGCAGGTGGGGGGACACTAGAGTGTGGGGAGGGGCATGGCCGCAGCGACCTGTAACGACCCAGCTGGGTCCAGTGGGCCCTCCCATTCCAGCCAAGGAGAGGGCACAGACAGGGCAGGTCGGGGTGGAGCAGGGCAGGGGCTAAGCCAGGGCAGAGCACAGGCAGGGCGGCTGCACCTGAGGCTCAGGGAACCGCTACGACACCATTTCCCCACATCGCCCTGAGTCTGGGAAAGGGAAGTCAGCACCATGACCTGACCCCTGGCCGTGACCCTGTCACCTCCCTACCCCCTTCAGCAGCTCCTTCTCCTCCTCCAGGACCCCGACCCCTGGGCCCTGAGCTCCATAATTAGGACAAATGACATCAAGGAAGCAGGGAAGATGAGGAAGGGTCACGGCTGACGTGGGAGAGGGGCTGGGGTGCCCAGACAGGCCTTGGCCTCTCCCTGAACCTCGATTTCTCCTCGGTTCAAGACCTCCTGAGCTTCTCCCCATCCCCTCTGTGAGGTGTGACTAAGACCGTGCAAGGCTTTGAGGGGCCAGGCGGTGGTGCAGGAACTGGCCCAGCCGTGTCCTGGGGCATCCCTGGCCCCTAATCCAGGCCAGGAGTGTTGCAGTGTGAGCACCCTACTGGGTTGTCCATCTCATTCTCTCTCTCACAAAATAAATAAATAAATGACAACAGAAAGCCATAGGCTTTGAAGTTCCAGAAGGAACTATCTGAGTCCCACCCTCCCCTCCGATCGCCCCCCACCCGAAGTTAATGGGGAGGTGGTGGATGAGGGTGGTGAGTGGTGCTCGGCATGGAGCCGAGGATTAGTGATGAAGGCAGCTAAGGCTGGAGGGGAAAGGAGGTCTTGACATTGGAGTGAGTCTCCCCACCCCCGCCACGGTGCGTGGTTCCCCGTGGGCCATGGCACCATGTCCTCCCCCTCCCACCCAGACAGAGCGACAGGCATTCAGCACCAGCCTACCAACCCCCACAAGGAACTCGCAGGATAAGAGCTCTCCTATGGCCTCCACAGTGAAGCCAAGGAGCGTGGGGTCTGCCCTCTCTGCCCACCCCAGGCCTCCCAGCCCGTCACGGCGCCCAGCCAGCTCTCCAGACATGCTCTGTGCGATGAACGTTTATTGAGCCCTTGTCTACTTGCTCCAAGCGGGACAGGCCGGACACGTACATGACAGGAGGGACTCAGGCCCTGAGCACACGAGCAGCCTCGCCAGGAAGACAGACACGGGTGAGCATGGAAGAGTAACGCGACCTTGGCACTCTGCTAGACAGATGTGACCCTGCACTAGGGAGCCCAGGGAGAGGGAGTGGCCGCTCCTGGGGAAGAAAGGACGGGGCGAAGCATGGCAGAAGTAGGGCTGTCTGAGTGGGGTTCTAACGGATGCTCAGGAGTTCCCAGCAACTATGGGGGAAGCTTCTAGGCTGCGGAACCATCTTGAGAAATCGTGCAAGGGTAGGAAGGACACGGGGCAGAGGTGCTGGGGTCCGGCTGTGTGGGACCTGGGGTGTGGGGCTAGAAGACTCCTGGGACTGACTGGGGATGGCCAGGCCCTGACCACGTCGGTCTGCTCCAGCCCTGGGGAGCTGAGGAAGGGGACTTGCCCAAGAACTAACAATGGGGGCTTTTGGGTGGGGTTCCCCACCCAAGTTCAGGAGAGGCGCAGACTGCTGTGTCCCTGGAAGGCGGTGCGGCCAGGCCTGTCTGCTGGCTCGGTCCCTGCTGGATAGGAAACCCACGTGTGCCTCTGTGTGTCTGGTTTGTTTTGGTTGGTCGTCAGTCGTTTCCAAGGAAAGTTCCTTGTCAAAGCTCCCAGTGTGGCTTGGCTGATCCAAGGAAAAAGGAGACCTGTCTGCACTTGGCCGTGTCTGTGTGTGTGTGTGTGTGTGTGTGTGTGTGTGCGCGTGTATGGTGGGGGATGGAGTATTCAGGGGCAGGAGCCAAGGCTGTCTGGCCCTGTTCATTGGCCACGTCTCTGGGTACCTCCCGATCCCTCCTGAGCTCCCTACCCAGCCTGCTTCCCTCCCCCACACGAGAGGGGGCTGGGCAGCTCTAGAGGAAGTCCCAGACGGTGAGGCCAGCCCCCTCCTGCCAGGGGGAGCTCCCACCTGGGTGGGAAGCCCGCCCTCCCTTCCCCTCAGGGCTCCTGCGAAGCAGAAGCCCGGGCCTTGGCCGTCAGAGATGGGCAGGGGCCTAGTGTGGCATAGGCGGGTGGAGGGGCTGCCGAGGCTGGAGACGGGGCAGGGTCTGGCTGGGATGAGGACGGGGATGCAGAGTGGGGGTAAAAGCGGGAGGGGAAGGAGGAGGCCGGGGTGGAGGCCACCTCCCACGCAGCCCTGCGCCCTCGGCCTGGGGACCAGTAGCGGCTGCGGAACCTCCGGAGCAGCATGACGGAGGTGATGACCAGGAGGTCGAAGATGAACTCGGCCATCTCCACCACAGACAGCACTGAGGACCCGAACCACAGGCTCCACTGTCTGCCCAGGTTGGACAGGAGGGTGACCATCTGGGAGGGAGAGAGCACGCTGACCTCGGGCCGAGGAGTCCCCACCACCCTGACCAAGGCTTCACCTTCATCCTGAGGGACCTAAGCAACCTGCAGCCGCCCCAGGGCCCCGGTCCCTTCTCCCAGCTCCTTCCTGTGAGAACACACAGCTCCTGGCTGGTGTCACCCAGACACTGGGTCGTGATCCTGGTAGCTGAAACTGGGGTGTCTTGAGGGCCTTGTCCCCATCGCTGGGCATCTGGTATTCCCATCGCTCTCACCACCCCCAGAGACCTCATGCCTCCCCCTGAGCTCCCCTCCTCCCAACCCTCTCAACCTCACCTGTGACCTGATTGCCCTTTTCCAACCTGGTCGGCCCCCACCTCTGAGTCCCAAGCCCTGTGGCCCCAGAGAGCAACACTTTGCTTTCCCCATCGGCCGCCCTGCTAGACCCTCGGACCTACCGTGACGGAGGGAGACTCAGAATTAGTTTTGTACTTCAGTTCCTTGAAGAAGATGTTGAGTTTGGCAACCCCGTTTCTGTGGAATGGGGAGAGCGTGGGGGAAAGTGGAAGACGATTAGCCCCTCAGACCCTCCTCCCCTCAGATCGGTTGTGTCAGTTCAGTCTCAGGGCTGTGTCGCCTCCCCCAGTCTTCCCCAGGACTGGGACCAGGGCAGGACAGACCTCTTGTTGTTGATGGTGTAGTTGTTCTGCAGAGACAGCATCTTGAAGATCCAGTCCTGGGAAAGAATGTGGTGTCCACGAGGTCGCCCTGTCCTCTGTCCTCTTTGGGCTCCCAGGGGTGGGTCAGGTCTAATACCCAGAGAGGGATGCTGTGCTACTGGGTACATGCACAGTCCCCATCCCCTCTTCCCTGCGTTACCTGGGATGTGACGGAGGGCCATCGCGAGTAACCCGCCGTGAGCTGGTAGCTGGTCACACTGAGGGCGGAGAACGGTGATCAGTGGGGGGAGGCTCTCCCACTCGAAGGCCTAGCTGGGGCCTGGCCTCCACCCAGCCACGCGGCCCACGGCCCAACCGTACCTGCATGGCTTCCGGCATTTGGTGAAGCAGCCCAGGCGGTCGGTGGCGAAGGCATCCTGGAGCTTGTAGTAGCAGTAGCCTGCGGGCACAGAGGGGACCCGTTTCCCAGGGCACCTGCACTGCCTCAGAGGCAGCACCGAAAATAGTGAAGAATTTAAGCTAAGTCAGGAAAAAAGAAAGGAAAGAAAAACCAACCAGGATACGCTCGTGTAAATATGAGTACCATGGGGACAAAAATGGAAAGTCAGAGAGAAAAGTGGGAAAATCTCTTATGTACAAATAATGGGATGGAGGCCAGCAGGTGGCACAGAAGATAAGGTGGCTGACACATGGCCGACTGAGTGAGCCGAGTCCCAGGCCCAGCAGTTTGAAAATCACCCTGCCGGGCACTGTGTGCGCATGCCCAGAATCCCGAGAGGAGAACGGAAGAGAAGGGATTATGGACTGGTCATCCCCTCCTGGGGGTGCTTTCTCCCTTCCCCTCTGTCTCTATCTCTTTCTCTGTCTCTCTCCAGCAAGCACATGAGCCCTAGAGCAAACTTTTAAAAAAAGAAAACAGAAGAGAAATGGAAGTCAAGCAGAATGAGGATACCACGTGACACCCACTAGGGCAGCTTTTGTAGAAAAGACAGTAATGAGTCCAGCTAAGAGCGTGGAGAAGGTGGACCTTCATACACTTCTGCTGGGAGTGTCAAGTGGTGTCACCATTTTGGAAAAACGTCTGGTAGCGTCACAAAAAGGTTCAACATAGAGCTTCCATAGACCTAGTAATTCTATGCCTACACCCAAGAAAGTCGAAAACATGCCCACATAAACACTTGTGCACAAATGTTCACAGAGGCATTATTCACAGTAACCGAAAAGTAGAAACAACCAAGGTGTTTATCAACAGATAACAAGTGAACAAAGCAGTACGTCCACACAACACGGGGCACCGTCTAGCTGTGAAAAGAAGTGCAGTGATGACACAGGCCACAGGACGGGGGAGCCTGGAAATGCTCCACTCAGTGAGAGAAGCAAGAAGCCGGCCACAAAGGACTGCATATTGGAGGAGTCCATCTATGGGGCCGGCGGGTGGCGTGGTAGTTGAGGGCTCTGAACTTCCATTGAGAGCGGTTGAAGCTGGAAGGACGTCAGAAACTGGAGCCGTGCTGCCCTCTGGTGGTTAGTAACAGCACTGCAGCTGCTGGGCTTCCCGAGGTACAGCCGCCGCTGGCGCCTCCTACCGGCCAGTGATGTCATTGCCGCGCACGTCTGCCTGGGTCAGGGCAAGAAGATCGCAGTCCCTGGCCCTACACCTGACCCTCTGGCGACCTCCTCGAGACTTTTTTTCTCTTTGGAACATAATCAGTGTTCCCCAAACTTCAATTATTTGTGTAATGCCTGCAGATCACCTTGCCCATCTCATTATCTCATTCTTTTTTTTTTTTTTTTGGAGAGGTTTTTGCTATAGGGCGCGTGTGCTCGGCAGGAAGAGAGAGACAGAGACAGAAAGCGAAAAATCACCCCCCCCAGGGGGAATGGCCACACCACAATCCCTTCTCCTCCATTCTCCTCAGGATCTTGGGCACGCACGCACACGTGTCCAGCGTGAGTTTAAGCCACTGGGTCCAGGACTCGAACCACGGTCGACTACATGGGAGTCCAGCCATATAGCCATTACGCCAAGTGCTGGTCCCGCCCATCTCATTCTTATGCTACCTGGACTATTATTTACTTAATTTTTGTTCAGAATGTATTTTTGTAAAACAATACAAGTTTCATTTTTAAAAAGAAACGTGAATATCCATAGTAGAGGGAAGGGAAATAGTTTCACTTGCCATAAATGGAGAGGGGAAGGACATGGAGCATGGACAAACATCAAACCAATCAGGATTATCAACGTTTTTAAAATTAAGGTTATTTACAAACAAAAATAAATGATGGCTTACTTGGGCAGTAAAACTGTGAGGAGGAGCAAAGAAAGACTTATGATAAAAGCACAGGGGTGGCAGTGGCATGGTGGTTAAGGGCGCTGGATTCCCACATGGCTGACCGCGGTTCAAGTACTGGACCTGGCGGCTTACTCTCTCTCTCTCTGTTCCCCCTTTGGTCAAATTAAACAAACAAACAAAGTTAAATAAAATAATTTTTAATGAATTTTAAACCCTGAGGGTTTTTTAAAGATTTACTTATTTTTAATCATTCATTCATTTATTTTTAATTTGACAGAGCAAGACACGGCGGGGAGGTGGTGAGAAAGCCAGCCACCAGGTCCGGCACAGTCCAGCACTCAAACTGTGGTCAGCCACATGGGAGTGTCCTTAACCATCACGCCGCCTGCTGGTCCCTTTTTTTTTTTTTTTTTTTTTAAAGAGAATCCATTTATATGAAATGTCCACAATTGGCAGTTCTATAAGAAGACAGAAATAGAAGCCGGCTGGTGACGTAGTGGTTAAAGTTCTGGACTCCACATGGCTGAGCATGTGGTTTGAGTCCTGGACTTTGTGACTTGGAAAACATGCCAGGTGCACACGCAAATGTGTCATCCCAAGAGGAGAATGAAGGAGGAGGATTGCAGCCGTCCCCCTGGAGGAGTGATTTCTCTTTCTTCCTCCCCCCTCGCTGTCTCTCTGATAAGTGCGTACACCCTATAACAACAAGACAGAGACACAATTGCTTGCCCAGGAGCTGACAGTGGGGCAGGCAGGGATGGGGAGCTTGGCAACAGCCATGGATACAAAGTATCTTTGGAAGTAATGAAAATATTCTAAAAATGACTGTGGTGATTATTGCACAACTCTGGGACTCAGCTAACACCCTAAATGCTGCTTAGGGACCAGCAGTTGGTGTAATGACTATGTTGCTGGACTCCCATGTAGTTGACTGTGGTTCAAGTCCCGGACCCAGTGGCTTAAACTTATGCCAGGCGTGTGCGTATGTGTGTGTGTGCATGCCCAAGATCCCGAGAAGAGAATGGAGGAGAAGGGATTGCAGTGTGGCCATACTCCCTGGGGGGGGGGGGGGTGATTTCTCGCTTTCTGTCTCTCTGTCTCTCTCTGTCTTTCCGGCGAGCGCATGTGGCCTATAGCAAAAACGTCTTTACGTAAATGAACAGGATAGTCCATCAGGGTGGGTGGCAATGCCTGTAACCCAGTTACTTAGGAGGCTGAGGCAGGAGAATCAAGAGTTCAAGGCCAGTCTGGCCTGCATAATAAGACACTAAGGGAGGGGAGAGAAAGGGAGGGAAAGGAGGGAGGAAGAAAAGAACTGTATGGGATGTGAATTATCTCAATAAGGCTCTTGCAAGAAAAAAAGAAGAATGAGACTGTGGATTGTTCTCCTCTCCAGTCCCCAAGTTCTAAGCAAGATCATTTTGTCAATATTGCTACCTTTAGTCACTCAGTCTGAAGTCCTCCACTTCTGACCCAAACCCTTCCATCTCTTGGGGCTGAGGACCTTTAATTAGGAAGAGTGGAAAGTCACCAGCCTTTTTTAAATGAATTTTTTGTTTAACTTTATTTATTTATTTTATTTTATTTTATTTTGACCAGAGAGAAACAGAGCAGGAGAGAGCATGGGAAAGCAAGAAAGCAAGTCGCCAGGTCCAAGACTCGAACCACGGTCGGCCATGTGGGAGTCCAGTGCCCTTAACCACTACGCCACCTGCCGGCCCCTGTCACTGGCCTTTTTCTCTGAGGAATGAGACAGGAAACTCAACAGACTCTGTTTTGTTTGTTTGTTTTACTTTTTTAAGAGTTTTTTTTGTTTGTTTGTTTGTTTGTTTTGCCTTAGGGCACATGTGCTTGCAGGACAGAAAGTGAAAAAGAAAGTGAGAAGTCACCCCCCAGGAGGGATGGTCACACACCACAGTCCCTTCTCCCCCATTCTCCTCCAGGGATCTTGGGCATGCGAACACATGTGCCTGGCGTGAGTTTCGAGCCACCTGGTCTGGGACTTGAACTTAGGTCCTCTCCCTGTCTTCCTGCTCAGCAAGCAGGGTTGTTACTTCCCACTCACTCTTCAAACATATAGCCTAGAAATAATGGCTTGGGGACATGGAAGTGGAGAAGGCACCACCTGCCCCACGCCCCTGCTCTGCACAACCTGAGACCTGTCACGCCCTCCTCTGGACCTCATGCGCTGGTCTGAGAAAGCAGGTGAGGCCAGGTGGCCTCTGTATTTCCCTCCGGTCCTGAGCTGCCATGGTCAGAGCCAGGAAGCAGGAGGCCTCGACCAGAAAGTGCACGCGGGACTGTGGAGCAGGCCCAGGAAAGAAAGGGGGCAGAGCGACTTCCAGGCAGGGTCAAGGAGGGGCACGCTCAGCTCTGGGACAGGCAGTGGCAGCTGGGGAGGAGCCTACAACCTTGTCTCTTCTGGCCGCAGCCCTCCTCCCCCCAGCCCTCCTCCTCCCCAGCCTTCCTCCCTAGCCCTCCTCCCAGCCCTCCTCCCCAGCCCTCCTCCTCCCCCCTTCCCAGCCCTCCTCCTCCCCAGCCCTCCTCCTCCCCAGCCCCACCCTCAGGAGAGCTGGTGGGGGAAGCCCTGGAAGAGGAAGTGCGGGAGGGGCGGTTGTGCCAGATAAGACGGGCCACCAGGACTTCCAACCCTCAGAAACTTCTATGCTTTCTTGTCGTGATTTTCTTTCGCTTTCAACTTCCTAGCACACAGCCTCCCTACTGCAGAGCTCAGCTGTGCCGAATGGAAAGTATTTGTTTACTCTTGAACCAGGATAAGGGAAGTTCAGGGCACTCCAACTTTTTAGCCGGAGGGTACATTCACTGACCACAGAGAGAGAGAGAAAGCACCCCACAGTGGGGCCTGGTCACGTCGCCATCCCTTTCCCTCTGTTTCATGCAGTAGGATTTTGGGCACACACATGCACACAGTGTGTTTCTCAAGTCACGGAGCTGGGATTCGAACCACAGTCAGTCAAGTGGGTCTGCTTCCCAAGCTTAGCACTTAGCTACTACACTGTGGAGCTCCCCCCAAACTTTTTTCTTTTAGTTTTACTATAGGGAGTGTGTGTTTGCCAGAGAGAGAGAGAGAGAGAGAGAGAACCCTCCGTGGGAATTGGCCACACTGCAATTCCCTCTCCTCCATCCAGCCTCTCAGGATTTTGGGCATGCACGCACACACTCCCCACGTGTTTTTCAAGCTGCCTCGCCTAGAACTCAATCTGCACAGTTGGCCAAGCTGCCCCAATTTCCATACCACCTGCTGGTCCTCCAACATTTTTTTTTAAATGAGAGAGATGAGCATCTTTGACAGTTTCCCTGTCGCCGCAGCCTCCCAGGTAGCCAGGATCATGGGCACGCACCACCACTCCCGGCCGGTTAGGTAGGTCCAGGAACTGCACCCAGGCCTCCCATGTGGCTCAGCCTTCACGGTGCACCCTACCACTGGCAGCGATGCTGGGCCTCTCCGAACAGTCCGACTGTGCCTTTCTCCAGGTAAAGAAATCTGAATCAGCAGGTGCAGTCTACGTATGTGGGTTACAGATTACAGCCCCACCCTGGCCGTACCACTGCAGACACGGCATGGGCATTCCAAAACAGACGTAAGATGGACAGTGCGGAACAGGGAACCAGCAGGTGACGTAATGTTACATCGCTGGACTCCCATGGAGTCAACTGTGGTTCAAGTCCCGAACCCGGTGACTTAGAACTCACGCCAGGCACATGTGTGTGTGTGTGTGTGTGTGTGTGTGTGTGTATCCAAGATCCCAAGCGGAGAATGGAAAGGAGAAGGGATTGTGGCATGGCCGTCCCCCTGGGGGGTGATTTCTCATTTTCTTTCTATGCCTTTCTCTGTCTCTCCAGCGAGCACACATGCCCTACAGCAAAAATTTTCTCTCAAAAAAAAAAAAAAGCGAAGCAGTGGGACAGACACCTAAAACTGCCTGTATTTTCTTCCTGTGCCCCAGGGAATTGCCCCCAGTCAGCTCCGCAGAAGACAACCTGCTAAGCCCCCCAAGAAAGGAGCCCAGGCGCTGCAGGGGAAGCCGCAGACCAAGCGTGCGCTGAAACCTCGGAAGGGTGCGGGGTGCCTGAGATGCTTCTCACGTGCTCTTCCTTCCTTATCCTGTGGGTTACTTTTTAAATGGGGCAAGTCCTTGACAAACATGCAAAAGCCAAAACACAGGGAGAGAAAAACAGAGAGTGCAACAGAGATAGAGGAGTGGGACAGAAAGTATGAAGGAAAGTGAAGAGAGCCGGAGACCAAGGGCTGAAAACCAAGACCAGGAGTCAGGGCTGGGGGAACCAGTCTCTCACCCCAGGAGTCGTGCTTCCTGTAGTCACAGAACTCCACCCCGGGGGGCCTCGGGTAGAAGATGTAGGCGCAGCCGCACTCCCTGACCATGCTCTCCTGGAAGCAGGAGTGGATGCACACCTGGAACAGCGGGGGCGGAGAGCAGAGGTCAGGTCCCACCTGGAACCCAGGCCTCCCCACAGGCAGCAGAGCCAGGAGGACGGCAACTCTGCCCTGCCCTGCAGCCCTCGCCCAGCCAGTCTCTTCACCCCAAGTCCCTCCGCACGTACGCGCTCTCTCTCTCTCTCTCTCTCTCTCTCTCTCTCTCACACACACACACACACACACACACACACACACCTTCATTGGCCAACCCAGCTCCTGGGAGGTGGTTGCCATAGAAACAGGCTGGGCCTCACCTGCTGCGTGTACTTCAATGGGCGAAAGAGATTCTCGACTGGGACGTCGCTGCCATTCTTGAGTTTCTCTTTCTTTCTCTCTCTCTCTCTCTCTCTCTCACACACACACACACACACACACACACACACACACACACACCTTCATTGGCCAACCCAGCTCCTGGGAGGTGGTTGCCATAGAAACAGGCTGGGCCTCACCTGCTGCGTGTACTTCAATGGGCGAAAGAGATTCTCGACTGGGACGTCGCTGCCATTCTTGGTGCAGTCGCCATAATTGCCCCCAAGTCTCTCCAGGGTCTCCTACGGACACCCACACACTGAGAGGTCAGAGGTCAGAGCAAGCGGCCCAAGGCCCTGCATGTACCCTGCCTTTCTGTCCTGCACCCTGCCAGCCCCTCCCATCTGCTTTCCCGTCTCAAAGCCTGCCCAGCAGCCCCCACGGCCCTTCCCAGTGCTCAGAGACACTGAGCCCGAAGCGTCCTCTGGGACTCAGAGCCTGCCCTGACCCCTTGGCATGGTTCTCCCAGGGACCTCCTTCCTGAGCCTGTTCGGCCCCAATTCGTGCCCCCGGACACCCATGCATGCTCACAGCCCACCCCAAACAACCGCCCTTGCAGTCTCCCACGTGCCCAGTCCCCCTCCTGTGCCCGCTCCGCCTCTCTCCACGCAGGGCGCCCTCCTGGCCTTGCCTTCCTCATGCTGATGGAGGTCTCTATGCCTGGGCGCAGGTTGAAGCCCCCATCGTCCATGAAGGCGGGCTCGTCCTGCCCGTGCACCATCACCCTGGCCCCGGTCACCGTGGACAGCAGGGGGATGAAGTCGTTCTGCTCCGTGCGCAGCATGACCGACAGGCCTGGGGGTGCCGAGGGAGCAGAGCTGGGGAGGGCCTCGAGAAGAATTAGGGCATGGACACCCCCTCCCACCTGGGCCTAGTCTCTTCACCCCACGGGGAATGAGAACAGGAAGACCTGCAAATGGACCCGGCAGCCACAGGGCGGGATTCTGGGGACAGGCGGGAAGGATGGGGACAGGACTCCTCTCATGCCTGGAATGGGCCACGTGGAGCCCACGGGAGAGAGGACACATCCAGCACTAAGAGTCTCAGCACCTCTGGGACGTGGGCTTGGGTGAGTGAGTGGGGTGCTCAGGGCAGTGAGAAGGGCGAGGCTGAGGCCAGGCCCTGAGGGGCCAGCTGCTCACCATTGTTGATCCCGGGCATGGACGACATCCAGAGGTTGGAGCTGTTCTTGTCATTGAATGTGTAGCAGTTCCCATACATCGGGTGGTGGAAGTGAGAGTAGTTCCTTATGGGGACAGAGAGAGCAGGGTCAGGGCGGGAGTGCAGGTCAGGCGGGCCGGACGACGTGGCACAGGGAGCTCTCCAACCCTCACCCTCCTGCAGGTCTTTGCTTTCAGGGCCCCTTGTCTCCTGAGCACCTATTACGTGTTGGCACAATGCAGGCAGCCTTCCCTAAGCTCCATGGGTCACTCCAGCCACCAGCCTGTGAGGGCCTCGACCCTGCATCCAGAAGAGGAAGCTAAGGCTCAGAGGCCAAGCAGCTGGCCCAGGGCACACACGCTGTGATGCAAACCAGGGCTCAGGCCTGGCTCACCACCTCCTGGCCCAGCTCCTCCCGCCAGGCAGCTGACCTTCCTGGCTTTGCCTCCCTGCTGCCTTGGGACCTCTTATGTTGCCGGGGAGCGTTACAAGAACTTTGCAGTGCCCTGTGTCTCACGGGTCCACTCCTAGCTCCCATTTGGATCCTGGGGGACAGGAGCCATGTCTCCTTTCTGCCTCTCATCTCTGGTGAGTCGCACGGTTCCTGGCATGTAGGTCCGGCTCAGAAACAGCTGAGTGGATGGGTGAAGGGAGGACATGGAGGGGGTGTCGGAGCGGAGAGTGAGACCCGTGGTGAGCATGGCTAAAGGGAGCAAGATCCGATCCCGGGGCGGGATTGAGGCCAAGTGTTTTCTGGAGGCTTCTGGAATCTGCCTCAGACCAGGAAGTCCAATGCCAACCGGTGACAGGTTTGGGAAGAGAGAGAGCGAGGCCATCACAGACGCTACCCTGCTGCAGTGGGGATGAAGAGGAATAGAAGGCAGGGGAGGACGGGCCTGGCCGGAGACAGAGTGTGGGGGGAGACTAGGAAAGAATAAATAAAATTAAATAAATGTTATTTTAAAAATACACACGTAACTTAGTTAAAAAAATTTAAAAATAAGTTCAAGTGAGATATCTTAGTTAAAATTTTAAAGAAGAAGTTCAAGTGAGATATATAAGAATACCATTTATAAGGGCCAGCAGGCCATGTGGTGGTTAAGGTACTAGATTCCCAAATGGTCAACTGCAGTTCAAGTCCCAGACCTCCTGGCAGCTTGCTTTCTCACCT